TGTTGCGGCTTGGTGTACTGAATTGTAATCCCAGTGGGAGATAAGTCTCGTCCCACCACTACTCATGCGAGAATGGACTGGTGTAAATTGAATTCTGCTAACGATCAAGTCATTTGGTTTTAAGAGATCCGTTAAAAGCGTTACCTTCTCGGACGGTTACTTGCGCTAAGTATTTGAGCGTGTTGGCGCTTCATTTTCACGTTGAATTCATTAGGTTTTGCTACGAATGTTTTCATCGAATCGTGTATTAAATATGATTAATTTATAGCAATTCCTCCATACTTGAGAGAGACAACTAGGGCTTTGTTTTTTTCGCCTTTTTTAACTCGTGAACTGCTGCATGCGCATGTGATGAACGGCGCTCGCTAGCTCGCTCGGTTGGTCGATTCCTATAAACTTTTTTCTATTCTAGGCTTTTGAATGCATTTGATAGTTTTTGCCGAGTGATAAACAAACGCAATGGCGACCTTTGTTGCTAAGAATAGTGTTGGGGTGAAAAAGAAGCCAATGATAATCTTGAAAGAGTAAAAAAGTATACGTTTTTCATTTCTGAATTTAAGTTTGCCCAATCTCCGAGTACACTTTTATCTCTTGCAGCGTATATTTCATTTATGGTGTCAATAAATATTTCTATTTTAGATTGTATATATCTAGGAAAATGATCATGGTGTCCGAAAAAGAAAAAAAAGAAAACAAAGAAAGGAAGTTAAGCAAAACGCAGAATTTACTAGTCAAGAAAGAGTGCGGAGGATTTGAACCACTTACGTCGCTTCCCCTAGAGCGATATCTACAGCACTGCTTTTTACCAGTAGGCCACTCAGGCACCACATTAGATTTTTTTTGAAACCTTATCTATATGTTCATTTTACATTTAAAACGCTGCTCACCATAGTCCAATATTGAAGTGTCACTCACAGCCAACTGCTCGAAAAGTGACTTGTTTGATGCTTGTTTGGTATTCCTGGAGCTGTATCGACGTTGGAAAGTGGTTCACAAGTGGGAACTGAGGCGAAATAAGCTCAAGCATAAGTTCAATCAATCGATATCCTGTTCCTTCAATGGTTTAACTCGCACTGTGTATGCGTAGGTTATTAGTGTAAACATCCTTGTACTTGTTTTCATTCTCGTGCTAATAATTATCTCAGAAGTGCAAAACAGGCTACCTGCGCGGTACTCAGTTGCAACACAAACATACGCATAAACATAACAAGCTAATGCGCA